CCCCACCACCATTCCTGCCATTTCCCCCCCACCCTTTAGAGCTTTATTCCTCCTCACTGACCTAACCTGCATGTTGCTGCCAACATTCCTCCCATGACCACACCCCTATGAATTAATGAATCCTGCCTTTAGTCAGAGAATCTCATCAATAATACTGGCAGAAAAATTAGTGCGTGTGTATATGTGTGTCTGTATTTGTGTATGTGTCTGTATGTACACATGCATATGTATGTATGTTCATGTCTGTCTCTGTGTGCATGTGTCTGTGCACGTACATATGCATGTGCGTCTCTGTGTGCATGTCTCCACATATACACATACATGTGCATGTGTTCATGTATGTGTACACGTGCACGTGTGTATGTACATGTGTGTTCATGAGTATGTGTATGTACATGTGTCTGTGTCTGATGTGTGCATGCATGTCTATGTGTATATGCATGTGTGCATGTCTAGGTGTGCACGTGCATGTGAGTGGCTGTGTGTGTGCATGTGTGTATGTCTATGTGTATATATGCATGTATGTGTGCATGTGTGAGCTTGTGTATGTGTGCATGTGTATGTGGGTGCATGTGTGTATGTCTACGTGTATATATGCGTGTATGTGTGTGCATGTGTATATGTGTATGTGTGCATGGCTGTGTGTATGTGTGTGTGTGAGGTGGTGGTAGGGAAACTGTCATGTAGGCTCCCTGTGCAATGCAGCTGAGAGCTAGCACTTGATCAGTCATAGTCGTCTGGCTGCAGCTAGAAGTATAACAGGGGAGCATCCGAGAGGAAGGCATGTGAGGAGAGGGTAGCGAGGTGGCATTCATACAGGAAAGGAGAAAAGAGATGTTGTGGGGCAAGGAGATCAAAGGTCAAGGAAAATGAGGCCAAACAGAAAGGAGGAAAGTGTATGGAGAAATGGGAAGAAGATGCAGTTTCATCGTTCTCTGCCTACAGCAGAGAACTCTGGTGTCAGCAGCCGCTGGCTGAGTGAGGAGGTTTGACTTTATTGGATGATCAAAAAGTGGGGGGGCTTTCCTGAGGCTCCCTTCCTAGTTGGCTGCTTCCTCTTTCTCAACCGCTCACAGGGGCTACCTGGGTCTCCAGGGGCCCCTCCCGCAGCGCACTCCGCCCTGCCGGGTCTCCCTCCCGCCCCAGCTCTCCTAAGCTTCCCCGGCTCTGACCTTTGTGCCGAATCAGGTAGTGGCCCAGGAAGATGAACAGGATGAGCAGCAGAAAGACGATGAAAGCCACGATCCCGCCAATGATGGCGTGGTAGGTGCTGGAGGACGAGGGCACTGGACTGGGGTCTAGAGGGAAGGGGCAACGCACACAGTCAGGCCTGGGGCAAAACAATATCCCAGCGTTTCTGAGCTGCCTCGGGGCCATCTTACACAGCAGAGAACCGAGACTGACGTCAGGAGAACGGAGCAGCATCATTCAGCAAAGGGGATGTGCCTTATGTTGTACCCAAGTTTCTTACACAGTGTGCCGAGCATAGTAACGTTTACAAAAATTAATGTGTTCATGAATAAATAGAGACGTCTCCTCCACTTAACCCTTTGAGTTGAATTCATGGCACTGAAGCTTGACCTTAGCCAAGTCAAAGATCATCGCTTTAAGGTTTAAATCATCTCTTGAGCTCTCTCTCTCCCTGTCTGCCTGTTTCTGTGTTTCTTTTTTCTAATTTCTGGGTTATCAGAGTCTTCCTCCCCTGTCCTCCACACCCTCATACTCTTCTGTCTGCTTGACAGTCTGAGATGGATTCTCTGCAGGGGCTTTTCCACCTAAACCCATTGCCCTGAGATCAGCTGGAGGAGCAGGAAAACACTGGTGGATCCAAGAATTAGGCACTTTGACAGCACCTTACAGAAGATGATAGATTGTGGCCCCTGTATAAAGAACATGCTCCTTCTCTGCAGAGCACTTTAAAGTTCCAGCAAAACCCCAACCCTCTAGCAAGTCTCATCAGGAGGGGCTGCAACTGCATCTTCACTTCCCATCATCTGGAAGTTTGTGGGAAGTTGAAGATTTCCTTCACAGAAGTCCCACTGTGATGCCTCCAATGATGGCCGGTGTCTCTGCCATCGGACAGAGAACCTGTCCTCCACAGCAGCATCTACCGAGGATCGATTCCCACAGCAGAGGTGGGCTTGGCATGCCAAGGACACCACCAGCCATAGCAGAGTCCCAAATGCCTGAGAAGACAGAGCACAGGCCCAGGATACAGTGCTGACGTGGCCAAAATTACACTCACGCAGATATGACTCGCCCACCCATGGGAGAACCACTGTTTTTCCACAGACTCAGCTTGAGTCTTGATGCCTCATTGACTCCTTGTTATATATTTTGTCTCTCCTACTTTGTCTCCTCAGGCTTGATTAGGCCAGCTTTTAAGCTTCTTGCCTGCTTATGCCTTATTTAAAAAGAAAACATTTATGCTCTGGTTTTTAATGTTTTAATTGGGAGGGAAGGAGAGGATGGGCCCAGGGGCTCCACGATATGATGGTGTGTGTGTGATGGTGTAAATTAGAGGAAGCAGAATGAAGGTACCCACTATCTTTCTCCTAGGGAGTATGAGACTCAGTCCACATGAAAAACAAATCCTGGATAATATTCTAGAGACTAGGGAAATGGAAATTCCCTAGAAAAAACATAGGTTTCCATAGCCAACGTCACCTCTGGGGTCATCCACAACAGGCCCCTGTCTCTAGGTGGAACACCATTTAATTTCATTCCAGGCAGGTGGGAGTCAGTACTGCTGAGGATATTCCTGCAAGATGCAGTAACTCGTTCTACCATCAGGCGTCAGCACTGGAAGCAGTTCCAATAAGACTAGCTTTCCAGCCCAGGGCAGGAAGGATCAGCAAAAGGCCAGCCACAGGGCAGGAGAACTTGCTCCCACTGCCAATCATCTTCACAGCTTGTCCGGAGAGATATGGGGGCAGGGGCTGAGCCTCAGTGCATTGCCCTTGCTCCCGACATCTAGCTTTGTTTGTTGTGCTGAGACAGTGCCCACATGCTGAGGTCTGCCCTGGAGTCCAAATCACCCCATCCAGACACTCTCAGGTCTCTTGTCCCTGGGAGGCCTGTCCATGGGAGAACTACTGTTTTTCCACCGACTCAGCTTGGCTCGACGCCTCATTGACTCCTTATTATATATTTTGTCTCTCCTACTCTGTCTCCTCAGGCTTGATTAGGCCAGCTTTAATGGGCATTTCACTCAAGGAGCCTCCGATGTTCCCCTGACAACGCATTTCCCTTTTCTGAGGAAAGGCTTATGCGACTTTCTGACATGACCCCACTCCCCACTGCCATTGGACTCTCCAAAGAATCTCCTGCTCACTCTCCCTAAAGGGAATTCTGTGCTAGCCCATCTCTCCTGGAGCTGGGTTTTATGGTTGCACCTTTGTAAGAACTTCAGAGAAGCATCACCTAGTTCCTATAGAAGATATGGCATCTGAGAGAAGATTCTATTTCTCGGCATAGTACAAACTTATCTCCATTTCCTGCCTTGAGCCAGGTCTGCAGGGAGAGAGAACAGTAGCAGATGCACCCTGTTCTAGCCAGAGGAGCAGCAGCTCGGAGAGCCTGCTGCAAAGGGAAATGCATCTGCACACATGCTTGAGGCTCTGGGGCCTCTGATCAGACTTCTTCCTCTTCTTCTGTTTTTTTAATACTCACCCGAGGATATTTTTTCCATTGCTTTTCAGAGACAGTGGAAGGAAGGGGGAGAGGGAGAGGGAGAAGGAGAGAGAGAGAGAGAGGGAAACATCGATTGGCTGTCCCCCGCATGCACCCTGACAGAGGCCGGGGATGGAGCCTGCAACCGATTCTGTGCCCTTGGCTGGAATCAAACCCAGGACCCTTCAGTCTGTGGGCCGACTCTTTAACCACTGAGCAAAACCAGCCAGGGCCATAGAATTGTTATTCTTGCTGCCAGGTGAGTGCAGGGGTTGGAGGATGGTGTCACTTGAGTCATCACTGCTGAACATCCCACTGATCTTTCCTTACTGCACATTTCAGGGTGGATCTGCAGCTGAGTCTTCAGGAGGCTGTTGTCCCTTTAGTCCACTCCATCGGAGTGCTCTCAGGTGACAGAAAGGTGAAAGTGTAAGATGGACAGAGAAGGGGAGGAGAGGGATGCTGGAGGGAAACCGAGGCAGGCTCACCGTTCACATTGAGAGTATAGTAAGCCTTGTGGCTGCCCATGTTGCTGGTGGCTGTGCAGCCGTAGGTGCCGCTGTCACTCTTGTTGAGGAAGGGGAAGATCAGGGCGCTCTCCTGGGTTATCTTCAGGGGTGGCACACTGCCCTCCTTCTCCCACAGGTACTGCTGGGGACTGTGGAGTGTTCAGAAGAGAATAGGTCAGGGAGCTAAGGGAAACAAAAATAACTGGGAGCAGGGAAGTCAGGGACTGTTTGATGAAAGCTCAAGAAATTATAGGGGCCTGAGACACTGAGCTAGCTGCTCAGAGGCAGGGAGAGGGTGACCTCTTGGGGTTCCTTATGGGAACCACAGGGAACCAGGGAGTAGCCTCTCCCCACTTCTGCTGCTTTGCAGTAGAGGCAGAGGATGGGTGCTGTTAGTGTCAGGAAAAATGAGAGGCTCAGACAGTGCAGAGGAGATAGGAAGGCATTATGTGAAGATCACAATCTGAGAGCATGGAGTTGTATTCGAGGCCAGGAAATGAATCTTCTTACACAGGATTGCCACGACCCTCACAGTGTAGCAACAGCTTCTGGCCCTCGCGGGGATGTGGAGGGTNAGGGAGAGGGAGAAGGAGAGAGAGAGAGAGAGGGAAACATCGATTGGCTGTCCCCCGCATGCACCCTGACAGAGGCCGGGGATGGAGCCTGCAACCGATTCTGTGCCCTTGGCTGGAATCAAACCCAGGACCCTTCAGTCTGTGGGCCGACTCTTTAACCACTGAGCAAAACCAGCCAGGGCCATAGAATTGTTATTCTTGCTGCCAGGTGAGTGCAGGGGTTGGAGGATGGTGTCACTTGAGTCATCACTGCTGAACATCCCACTGATCTTTCCTTACTGCACATTTCAGGGTGGATCTGCAGCTGAGTCTTCAGGAGGCTGTTGTCCCTTTAGTCCACTCCATCGGAGTGCTCTCAGGTGACAGAAAGGTGAAAGTGTAAGATGGACAGAGAAGGGGAGGAGAGGGATGCTGGAGGGAAACCGAGGCAGGCTCACCGTTCACATTGAGAGTATAGTAAGCCTTGTGGCTGCCCATGTTGCTGGTGGCTGTGCAGCCGTAGGTGCCGCTGTCACTCTTGTTGAGGAAGGGGAAGATCAGGGCGCTCTCCTGGGTTATCTTCAGGGGTGGCACACTGCCCTCCTTCTCCCACAGGTACTGCTGGGGACTGTGGAGTGTTCAGAAGAGAATAGGTCAGGGAGCTAAGGGAAACAAAAATAACTGGGAGCAGGGAAGTCAGGGACTGTTTGATGAAAGCTCAAGAAATTATAGGGGCCTGAGACACTGAGCTAGCTGCTCAGAGGCAGGGAGAGGGTGACCTCTTGGGGTTCCTTATGGGAACCACAGGGAACCAGGGAGTAGCCTCTCCCCACTTCTGCTGCTTTGCAGTAGAGGCAGAGGATGGGTGCTGTTAGTGTCAGGAAAAATGAGAGGCTCAGACAGTGCAGAGGAGATAGGAAGGCATTATGTGAAGATCACAATCTGAGAGCATGGAGTTGTATTCGAGGCCAGGAAATGAATCTTCTTACACAGGATTGCCACGACCCTCACAGTGTAGCAACAGCTTCTGGCCCTCGCGGGGATGTGGAGGGTCTGGCCTAATCTTCACTGTTGGTGTGTCTGTGGAGAAGGAAATTATGTCAGTGCACAACTCCCACACAGTTCAGGAGATCGCCTTGATTTCCAAATTGTTCTGTTACACATGACAATGTCCACCCCCAATGCCTCAGGGTGCAAGTGGCTGGGAACAAAGACCTTGCTCCCCCTACTTCCTGTGAGCAAGGACCGCTATTGCCATTGAATGCATGCGGGAGTGGTACTGCCGCCTTGTGGAAATAGGGTTCTAGATGGTCTGTCCTTGGTGAGAACCCAAGAGCTGTCCAGCAGAGAGCTGAGAAGGGGTCTCACGGGTTCATCTGTGCCTAGCACACTGCCCAGTCCATAAATGGGACTTAATACATAATTGTGACAGAACAAATGCACTTGAACTTGACTGTTGAGCTCACAACCTCTCAATCCTCTCTATTCTGTACAGGGGCTTAAACCGGCAGCAATGCTTGAAGAAAAAAACATCATTTTTAGTGGTCAGTACAAAAATGAAGTCAGAGCTTTGAAAGAGCAAGAGACAGGGGTCATATTTTGGCTGCAAAAAGGCACTGACACAACAGAGATGGGCTCTGCAAAGGAATGATGGCATCTGCCACCAACACCAAAGGGCTTTTGAGGAGGCTAGGTCCAGATGGCCACATAGAACAATAGAACCAGATGCTGGTTTAGAAGGACAGGTAAAGAGACAGAGCTTCCCCTATGATAGAAGCACCCTTAACAACTGTTAATGAGTGTATTGCAGTCCAATCAAACAGGACAAAGAGAATCTGGCCAGGTGTGTTCAGGGACTCACAGCCACAGAAACCTCTAGTACAGCTCCTAGAGCATAGCATTTGTTGACTGACTACTGATCATGGTTGGGCCAAAAAGCTCCCTGGAGAGTAACTTCCAGACGGTCTGGTGCCTAACAGACATCTTTGGGACAGGGGAGGGCCTTCCTTAGCCTTGGTCAGGGCCCAGACTCAGGGGAAGAAGCCCAATACCAGGGGCCTCACCCTCAGAACTAACAATCAGAGAAAAAATTATAGCAACATAGAGCTCTGAAATTTACAACATACTTTCATAGATATTGCTTCATTGATCCTCAAGAAAATTCAGTGAAGTAAGCAAGAGCTACTAAGAGACTACATGCTTTGGTGAGAGCAACACAGCAAGTAGAGGCGCTCCAGCCAGAATCCAGGGGGTCTGCTTCCAAATTGAGAGTCTGCTAAATGGAAAGTGATGCTACTCCAAACCTACTCATGTTCAAGTTTCAGCAATGAGTTTAGCAATTGATTTAAATAGCCCTCAAGTCAGGCTTGTATCTTCCATACGGAAGAGATTAAGGGTTTCATCATTTTAGAAAAACACCCAGTCTCCAGATGAATTAGAATAAAAAGTACATCATTTTACAACTCTTTATCTTCCACTTTTGTACTTTATTTTCTTTCCCGCTAGGTTCCTCCACTCAGAAAAGTTCTTTTTGAAAATTTCCAAATTTCCTCAGGTGAGGAGGGAAGTTCACTGTCCATAGCCAAGGCAGATTCCATAGAGAGATGAGGATCCTTGGAAGGGTTGGGGGTAGTGATCATGATCATGGCCATTTGGGGTCAGAATCCCAGGAAAAATCAAACAGCTGTGGTAGACAGGAGAGTACCGTAGGAAAAGATCTGGGAAGGATGATGCCAGAGCGATTATGTTTCCTGCCACCTGCATTTTCTTGAAACCATCATAAGCTAGATCAAGAAGAAGCTTTAGCGGTTCCCATGTTCATCTTCTCATTTAGCAAGTAAAGAATCAAGCTCAGAGGGGTAATTTTCTTAGCATCACATGGCTAGTAAGTGGTGGAGGGCAGACTAGAACCTGCATTCTGACTCCTGATTTACTATAGTTACCATGACAACTTACAAGCTGGTTGCATCGCACCAGCCTACTCCAGGGGTTGGTAAACTTACCCATTGGGTCAAATCCTTCCAGCTACATGGTTTTGTAAATAAAATTTTATTGGAACACAGCTGTGTTTGTTTGTTTACATATTGTCTATAGCTACTTTCCCGCAAAAACAGTGGAGGTAAATAGCTGAGAAAGAGGCCATATGACCCCCAAAGCCTAAAATGTTTGCTATTGGGGCCTTTACAGGAAAAGTTTGCTAACCCTTGGCCTAGTCCTGCCACATCTTGTCTCATTTTGTTTTCACCTGTCCAGTTATCTGTGCCTATTCCTTCATGTGCAGTCACCACGGCTTTCCTTTTCCCCACCCCCCATCTCATACCTGGCTTGTCTTCACCCACAAGCCCATGACATACATAAAACTTCAATGCGCTGAGAGGTGGATCTGTCAGCTCCGTTTAGTGATTCGTGGTTCACAGAGCACACGATGTCGGCCCCATCATCCTCCCGGGTAACCTGGAACGTCACCGAGCTGCTCACGGTGAAGGTTTTACCATTGGGATCTTCCTGTATTCGGGTTGGTTCTCCTGGAGAGCAGAAACCACACACACACACAGGAACAGAGTGAGCCCCAGCATACAGATACTGTGTGGGCCACTGCAGACACACAGATGGTGAGTTTCAAGTTTGACAAACTTAGCAAGTTGTGAAATGGATATGAGTGTGCACAGAGTATCTGTCATTCCCACTTTCCCTTCTACGTCAGGCCTTGTGTGCACGTACACATGTAGACACGTACCCCTCCCTCTCTCATTCTCTGGTCCTCTCAGTGCCACCTCCTCCTGTAACCCCAAGGCCGGAGGAACTTACCATGAAGCTCTTGCTCGCCCTTCCGCCAGGTGAGATGAGCTGCAGGTTTGCTCCCAGAAGACTGACAGTTTAGGGTGGTTGTCTCCTTTTCCCGTAATGATGACTTGTAGCCAGTGATTATGGGCTTCTGTGGGATTCCTACCATGCATAGGGGGTGTCGGGATACGAAGGAGAGGGCATGAGGTTACACTCAGCTCTCCCTGCTGAGATGGCATCTCTGGGGGACAGGCTACCTCCGTCCTACTCTGGTTTATGACTCGTAGAAAACTAGTTATCTTTCTCTTTGATCTCCTCCCTGAGGACCAGGAAGAAATGTCTGGGGAGAAGAGGCGTGGTAGTGTGGAGATAAGCCACACCTGAGACGTGATATGTGACCTGACAACCCAGAGCACCACTGGGTGGCTACAGAAACAGTGCGGAGCTCAGGGAAGCAGAGAAGGAAATTGAAATATAGGATAAAAAAGAGGATGAGAGCACTGTGGTACTCAAGTTGGGTATTGTAATCATACATTGCATGCACCCCTCACGTTTCCCTCACATAATCTTGGGAGGGAGGGAGGACAGACATTATCATCGTTCTGTTACAGGTTAGGAAATTCAGGCTCAGTGAGACTAAGGGCGTTGTTCCAGAGCAAACAGTAAGCAGAGGAGAAATTATGAGAAGTCAGAGCTCTTTCCGTTTTGTTCCATTGCAAGGGAAACATGGACTGAACTTTTTCAAAAGGCTTGGAGCCTTGCCTGACTCTAGGCTCCTTAAGGGACCCACCTAGAGAGATCTGTTTGCACAGAAGCATGCTGCAGTGACATGGGTTTGGGAGCCTCACCCAGCACAGTGATGAGGGACTTGGCAGTTCTCACAGGCATGGTGAAGATGGAGCAGGTGTATTCTCCCTCGTCCGCCAGGGCCACATTGCTGATGCTGATGCTGAGCTCATGGGGTGTGGATTTAACCAGCTGAATCCGATTATCTCGAAGGGCTAGGGGGGGATTGGGAGAAAGGGAAGCAAGGCTTTCACTAGCACCTTTCACGTTTATCTTCAATCCCAGGTCAGATTTTTGAGCGGAAGGGGTATAGTGTGACTTTGAGCAGGGGGGAAAACCTGTTCCTGAGTTTGAACAGTCTTTAGGCCATTAATCACCTTCCTGGTCCATTGGGCACAGAGCCTCAGATACACTCAGAAAAGTAGGTTGGATCTCAAGGGCTTCCTTGTAAGACACACAGCTCAACACATCAGCTATCTCTTACTGCTCCTCTGGGGTAAAGTCAACCCAGGCCCTATAAGACCATGAATGGCCTAGGTAAGAGTTGTAGTAATGAAGTGTCTCTGAATCCAGTTGAGGAGCCCATGGCTTGTTCCCTCAAATCGCCACACCTTCGCGTGTCTCAGCCCCTGGCCTACAGGAAAATTTCCTCTCAGGGCTGCAATCCCCTTTCCCAGCCCATGGTTCCCGCAGACAGAGATAACCCTACCTCTCTTCTCCCCAAAGTAAAGAGTCTGCTGAGCAGGGTTAGACCACTGCAGGGATGAGTCCTCATGGTCTTTCACTTGGCATTTGAGCACTACGGTGCCGCCAGCCACCACGGTCTCATCAGATGTCCAGGGCTGACTGTCTGCAGGAGTAGAATAGGGTTAGTTTCCTAGAATAGGACTAGGGACTAGCAAGCCCTAGTCCCTCCACCCGTTTCTGGGCCAAAGTCCGCCTCATCTAATTCAGACTATCCAAGGTCCAGGTCTCTGTGTCTCTTAAGGCATCACGGAGGAAGGAATAGGGGAAAGGAACAGACGTAGTGGTGGTGGGACCTCATTTCTTCTTGTTCTGAATGCACGGGAAAAGTTACCTGTTGAATGTTTGCTTAAGAAACGAACATGGCCACAAACACGTAGAGGAATAAAGGCCCTCCAGATCTACACAGACCACTCCACATGCATCTTTTCTGATAGAATTCTACCATTCACCTTTGAAAACGCACATAGGTGTCTGTTAGTCTATGTTTTGCCTTTCTGCCACCACCTGCCTACATGAGCAAGCACAGGAGAAGCAGTTGTGACCAATAATTCCAAAACTAAAAGTGAACGAAAGGCCAGGCCAGCCCTTGGACTGCACATTATTTATATAAGAGGTAGCTGATAAAACTTCAAACCAAACAAACAAAACAGATTTAAAAAACAAAACAAAACCGAACCATTTTGACACGGACTTTTCAACTCCTCCAACAATAGTTTAGCTTCATTCATCAGCTCCCTTAACATATTTCTTCAGTTTTAATACCACCCAGTCCCCAACACAGACCCCATCACCACCCTGGTGTTAAAGAGCCAAGGATTACAGTTGTCTCTTGGATGTGATGGAGATACGTTTACTAATTCCTCTATCCTTAGTCATGTTAAACAAAAAAAAAAAAGGTGTCACATGGATGAGCCACTTGAATACCAATTGTGTCTCCTGGTTGGGCGTAACTGTGAGTCCCTTGGACTGTGTGCCACTTGCTTCCTCCTCTCAGGATTATTGCCCCCTTTTCCCCACAGCATTGGGACTGATTCCCATCATCGATCCCCTGTCTTCAGGGCTGACTTTCTGAGACCCAACAGCACCAACCTTCACAGAACTAAAATAAACAGCTTCAGCTCTGATTCTGAAAACGCCTGCAGTATTTCTTCTATGGCACTAATTCACTTAACCATCATTCTTCCTCTCTGAATGGGAAGCCGAGGGACATAGTGTCCACGTTTCCTAATTGAGTAACTTAGACAGTCCCTAGGCTCCCTGTGGCACTGACCTGGCCCCTGCCCTGTCTGCTCATCCCTTCCTTTCTTGGTCACCACAGCTCCATCTCCAACACACGAGTGCTCCTGGCAGAGAAGGTGCATGTGCTGAGGCTGAGGTCAGTGCTTCAGGATAGCTGTCTCCAAACTGAAGCACAACAGGCTGGCCGCTAGTTTTAGTGTTTAGAATCATAAAAATTAGGGCCGAAAGGGATCTTAGGGATCACGGAATCCAATTGTCTAATTTTATAGATGTAGACAACGAGACAATGGAGGTGATGTGATTGCCTAAGGTCATTCTACTTATCGGTGATTCTTGTTAGGACTAGAACTTGGTTCTTCTGACTCTCAATGCAGAGCTTATGTCATTGGAACGCCTCTCAAGTAATCATCTAATAAGAATTAAAACTATGATTTTGAGATTAATGATCTGTGGATTGAGCTGGCTGAGTTGATTTTGGAGTGGCACGTTCCTTAAATACTCCATGGAAGGTTTGGGAAGCCTTTCATTTACTGCTAGCCACATACCAAGTTTTCACTAGTGATTCCACTGTCCCTGGTTCCTTAGGAAGATTTCTACCTTGACTATGTCTTCCAGAACCTCTTCATTCTGAGCAATACGCTCCTCTAGAAATCATTCTATCTTTAGAAAAAACGCGTAGGGGACCCAGAGGTCTCTGTACTAAGGAAGGAGCGGGTGCTAGAGATGTTGGTGTAGAGCTAGGAACTACAATGTCAGATGGAAAGTAGAGGAGCAGAACACGGGGTGAAGGCCACATGAGTGGGAGATGGTATGAGGATGGCGGAGGGCACTGAGAGACACTGGGATGAGGGGGCCTGGATTCTCACCTTGACTGACCAGCATGTCAGGAGTGCTCCAGACTGTGGAGCTGATGGCCTCGTCGAGTGGAGCCAGAGTTCCCAGCTCCAAATCCTGCTCCTGCCAGTAGCCTGGGGAGAGAATCTCCATCAAGGATGAGCCCTACATATATGCTGCTGTAGGATGGGATCTGTACTCTCATTTTTGGAGGTGGGGAGAGGTAGGCCCCTGTGAAAATCAGGTTCACCAGAATACCCAAGAGAAGGTGGGTTTCTCACAAAAAGGAGCCGTTAACTAAAGTACTGACCAAGGAAGCCAACTCTTCCTCCCAAGGGCTGGATTAAAGGAGGGTGCTAACTTTCATCAGCCACTCACATCACCTTAGAGCCAAAAGATCCTAGAGGTCATCTGGTCCAGGCCTCCTACTTCCTGTGTGAAAGGTTAAAGGTGACACGGAGGAGGTCACTACGGAGAACGTGACAGCTAACCAAAGACTTGTCTTTCCTTAACCAGGATTCTCTCTGCTACACTCTATTATCTACTAAAATAAGGGCAGGTTTAATAAACAGAAAATGCTTTCACATTTACAAAGACCTGTAAAATCAGTACCCTGGTGTCACCATTACTTTGCAGGGTGGACACAGAATGAAGTGACTTGTCCGAGGTCACAGAAATAGAAGAAAAAGACTAGAAACTAAATGCCCGACCCAAACCCAAAGCCCTGTTCGTTTCAGGTAGGCCCCTACCACTGAAGACAGCGCCCAGGGCAGAAGCGAGCCCAGCCCCCTCCCGGGTCACCTCCTCCGCGGCGCTCAGGTCCTCCGGCCCAGCCGCCACTTACATCACTGACTCTGCTCGATCCTCGGGCTCAGCAAGCCTCTCTCTTCCTAGCAGGGAGCCCCGAAACCCTTTGGGGACTACACAGTGTCGAGGGCCTGTTTCCTGCGATTCACCCGAAGGGCCAGAGGGACAAAGAAACCAGGCGATCTTTTCAGGGTCTCCCGCCAC